AATTACTGCTGCGATGATTAATGCATTCGAAAATGCTTGTCCCCAAACTAGCATTGCAGAAAAGTCATCGACACCTTGGTGGAGTCAGGATCTTGAAGTAATAAAAAAGGAGACAAGGAAAGCCTTTAATAAATACATGAGGGAGAAGAACTCCGAATCATGGGACTTGTATAAGGCCAAAAAGCGTGAATTTAAGAAAGCACTACGCAATCGGAAACGGGAGTCGTGGAGGAATTTCTGTTCGAGCATGAAGGGGACCTCTGAAGTAAGTCGGTTACAAAAGATGGTCACCAAAGATCCGGTCTCAAGACTTGGTTTAATCCGAAAGAAGGATGGTACAATGACGGAGACAGTAGGTGAGTCATTGAGTACTCTCATGGAGATCCATTTTCCAGGAAGCTTCAAATTTGATGATCACTGGCCATCTCCCAAAAGGGGAATGAACAGAGAGGAAAGATTTGATGCAGAACGGATAGTGACCATAAATGCAGTTAGGAATGCCATTTTGACATTCGCTCCATTTAAGTCACCGGGGTTCAATGGCATATTTTCAGCACTCCTGCGATGGGGAATTGACCTGCTCGCAGTTAGGCTCACGGAGATATTCAGGACGTCACTGGCAACAAGGTACGTCCCTAAAGCTTGGAGAGAGTCAAGGGTGACTTTTCTACCAAAGCCAGGAAAAAAGGATTACACAGAAGCAAAGTCATTCAGGCCAGTTAGCCTTACCTCTTTCATGCTTAAAGCTATGGAAAAGGTAATAGTGGACTACCTAGAATGCACCACGCTAATGAAATATCCTTTAAGCAGATGTCAACATGCCTATAGGGCGGGGAGATCAACAGAGACTGCCCTGCACGAAGTCGTGAGGACAGCTGAGAGAGAGCTGACTTCAGGAGGCATTTCGATGGCCATCATGATGGACATCGAAGGAGCCTTTGACAAAGTAAGCTTTGATAAATTAAAATCTGCTCTAGCTGACCGAGAAGTCGGTTCAATCATTATTGGATGGATAGATTTCATGTTAAGGCAAAGAGCAGTAAACCTACAAAATGGAAGATATAGACTGAGAGGCAGAACAGTCAGAGGCTGCCCACAGGGAGGGGTGCTTTCACCATTTCTGTGGAACGTGACCATAGACTCTCTACTTCAACAGCTTGACTTCAAAGGCATACAAACAATTGGGTATGCGGACGATATAGCACTGATGGTGAATGGCAAGTTCCCAGACACCATTAGAAACGTGATGAGAGGTGCTCTCAAATGCGTCGAAAAATGGTGTAGGGAACAAGGCCTGGCCATCAATGCCACAAAATCAGACACTATCCTCTTCACGAGGAAGAGAAGTCTGTCAATGGAGCCCTTACAACTTTTTGATAATAACATTCGCATATCAAAGTCGGTGAAGTATCTAGGTGTTATCCTAGATAATAAACTGACTTGGAATGAACATGTGGATGAAAAGATCAGGAAAGCGAAAAGAGCTCTATTTCAATGTAAGAGAGTGTGCGGAAGACGATGGGGGATATCCCCAAAATCGATGCACTGGATCTATACCATGATGGTCAGACCTATTATAACATATGCGTCAGTTGTCTGGTGGTGTAAAGTCACCCAAAAGACAATAAAGACGAAGTTAGATAGAGTCCAGCGACTAGCCTGTGTTGGAATAACAGGCGCTATGCGAACTACACCAACACCGGCATTAGAGGCGATGCTAGGCTTGCTTCCGTTGGATTTACATATAAAGAAAACGGCGGCACTGGCAGCAATTCGCATGAACCGGAGCTCCACGTGGAACAACTTCGGAAAATTAGTGGGCCATCGTAAGATTCTTGATCTCGTCCAGGCCGCGGTCAAGGAAACGCAGATGCCATTGGCGACTATGAGGAGGGTTTATGGGGCAGAAGTGTCCTACAGAACACTGATAGTAGACGGCCTTCTACATAATGAATGTGGAAGGAATGACATTTGCATATTTACCGATGGCTCCTTAATGGATGGCAGAGCTGGTGCTGGGGTTTACTCGAAAGAGCTAAATCTAACGTGCACTCTACATCTAGGAATATATGTTTCCGTCTATCAAGCGGAACTTATGGCGGTCTCACATGCTCTGGATCACCTATTGGATTGTCAGGTATATCAGAAAAAGATTCTGATAGCGCTGGACAACCAAGCAGTTATCAAAAGCATGCAAAAGACATACATAACTAACAGCTTAGTACAAGAATGTGTAACGAAGCTCATGGAATGTGCTCATGGAAATGAGATGACGATCATGTGGGTTAAAGGACACATCGGTATTGAGCAAAACGAGAAGGCAGATGAACTTGCAAAGCAAGGATCAAGCCATAATTTCTGTGGCCCGGAGCCCAGAATACCATTGGGGTACAGCATGACGGCAGCCTATGTCAATAAGTGGATAATCTCACTTCATCTTAATAGATGGAGAGAGTTGAGCACTTGTAGACAGACCAAACTCATGTTACCTAAACCGTGGGCCAGGGAAGCGATAAAAGTGCTTAGCTATTCGCGGAGCACTCTAAGCTGGCTGACCTCACTAATTACTGGACATGGCAACTTCAAGTATCACCTCAAAAAGATAACTCTAGCTGAGGAAGACACTTGCAGACTATGTCTAGAAGAAAAGGAGACAGCGGTGCATATATTGTGCCAATGTCCAGCACTGGCAAGTAGGAGGAAGACTGTCTTGGGACACCATTGGGTTGGTGACGACTTGGCAGGAAACCTCAAGCTAAATGAGATGCTTGCATTAACAAAAGATGTAGTTATGCGAACGGAAGCCACTCCAGCTTTAACTCAATAACAACATCCGAGAATCGAAGGACGAAAAAGGACCCAAGTCGTTTCGTGGTCTACTTCGACTAATCCTTCACTTCAGTGGGGCCACTTGTTGGACAGTGCGCTGTCCCAACGTCCCACCATATATATATATATATTATAAAGTTACATTATAATTAGCAAAATGTTTGCCATTTTGTTTTCTTATTTATTTTCAATAACTGAGTTTACTCAGTGTAAATACAAATTTCGTCACTGAAAACTGTCACTTCATAATTTTATATTCAGTACGAATAACTCACTAGCACTTGGGTAATACCATTGGGGCGATAACGCAGTATACATACAAAAAATGAATTTTTAGAAGTCAAGTTATTGACATAAGTCATTTACAACATTGGTGACCCTGACGGTGAACGACGTTACAAAAAAATGAATAACCAGGCTGAGGAATTTTTTCCAGCAGAATGTCAAGTGTCGATAAAACCGTTAACTTTCTCGCAAGAACAACCGGACCTTTACGTTCTATAAATGGAAGCGCAATTTAAAAACGCCGGCATAGTAAAGGACGGAACAAAATTCGACCATGTGGTGGCGGAGCTAGAACCAAGGTACTTGGGGTGCATAGCTGATACGCAAATTTATAACAGAGTTGGAGCTGGGCGATATGAAGCCAACGCAACTGCTGAAAAAAAATAAAGAAATGACCGGCAACTCAATGGGAGATGACGTTATAAAATCGTTATGGCTGCAGAGATTCTTCCACTGAAGCAGCGATACGAGGATCCGTATGAAATAATAAGTCGTAGTGAAAAAACCTTAAAAATGAGGGTAAAAGGACGGACACTAAATGTTAGTATGAACTGCGTGAGACCAGCATACATGGCGAATGAAACCGGGAAAAGTTTGACAAGAGAACGAGTGGAAGAACCTAACTGCAGTGACTGCGTTCAACATACACGGAAGGTGACCCGAACGGGAAGGGTTGTACAGTTTTCAACGAAGTATACTGCATAAGTGCTGCTAACATACAACAGAAAATAGAATTTGCCGTCAGTTGGGCGTCAAATTCTAGAAGGGACTGTGTGGTGATAAGACAGTACACATACAAGAAATGAATTTGACAGAAGTTTTAGTAAACTTAAAAAATAAATTTTAGATAAAAAAATATGTAGTTTTGTGTAGTTTATAATTGAGAAGTAAATCACAGGAACTTAATTCATTGTTTAATATTAACAGTAAAAAAAAGTGTAGTTACAAAAAACCTCAATAACAGCACCATTTTACAAGAAAATGTAAACTGCGGTGAGAAACGAGTTTATCGTTTTCGTGCACACAAATTTTTTTTCACAATTGAAGAATCGATCCATAGAAGTCCATTTCACACTTATTTATTCAAATGTGGAAACGGACTATTAAATATGCTTTAAAATTAAGTAATACTTTTTATGGAATAACTTCAATATAGGAAAATGCTTTTCCATTAGTTAAAGTTTGATGCATGTCAATACAAATACAGCTATAACTAATTCTTTCTAGAGGTCCAAATTTCCTAAAATTATATTGCTCAGACATTACAAATCATTTTTGGACACAAAACAATTGAATATAATTGACCAATAAGAGAAAGAATTTTTAACAATCAAAAAAAAACCTTTCAGCATTAATTTTATTTTTGAAGAAATCAAGGTTTTGTTGTGACGTAATTCTGTCAAGAATGAGATTGTACATTCAAATAAAATTCACGTTCAAATAAAATTTTAACTTATAATCGCAAAAATGCTCCTATTTGTATTTGTTTGATGATCAATTTTATTTTATTGGGAATGTGAACATTAAATAAATTTCAGTTTGTTTGTTGGAAAATAAAATAAATATACAACAAAAAGAAGTTCTACATCAATTTTTAACAGTCAAGTAACTGTTTGCACAACTTGTGTATTCATGTTATTTTACATCAATTAAACGATGTGCGATACATTTACCGTAAATATAAATACTTAGTTACTATGATATGAAAAATAAAAGCTAGACCAAACACAGTTTTATTTAATTTGTTGACAAAACCAGTAAGTAATATTTTGTAAATCAAGACTTTTATGTTTAGATAAAAATTTTAAAGGGTGATGCGTTTTAAATCCTAAGCTCCATTAACATTTAGAAATAAATAAATAATAAATAAGTGCCAATATACTTACTTCAATTTGATCATTTTCTTTAGCATACTCAAGATTTTGAAATATATTCCAAGTACAACGCTTTTTCATTTCCAAACGCGCTTTATACCGCCGATACCAAGCTTGTATAAGCAAAGCTGATTTAATTGCTGAAAAAAATCACATATACATATATACTTATTTTGAAAATCTTGTAATATTTTAGGTATTAATATATAAAACGAATGTTTAAAATAATTTTATTGGAATGAAAACAAATTAGTGAATAAAAAACGTGAAAAACGGACTGGCCTTTATTAAATTCGCCATTTAGAGCCGATTTCTCATTCGTGAAGTAAACCAACAAATTGATTTGCAATTCTGGCAAAGATAAGTCTTTTGGAAAATGTTAAAAAGATAAAATGAAAGCCTGTTTCAAAGATTTTCAGAAAAAGTTTTGCGTAATTCGAGGTAAAACGCAGTTTTGTGCTATTGCTTTCATGAAGAAATCAAGAACAGTTGTTAATCGCAATCGCATCGAACTTGACAATTTAATTTGAAATCAAAAGTTATGGAAAAAAATTAAAATTCTCATTTTTTTTTTGATCACAAGGTATACATAAATATTTAGTTATTGGAGCTGATTTAAAAAAAGAATTATTTTTAAAATTATAATATAAAAATATATATAAAAAAAAATTAATAAATGTTAAAAATTATAAATAAAGTATAAATAATAGTATAATATATAAATAAAATACAGTTTTTAAGATTTCAATAAAGACAGTAAATCCTATCCCAATTGGAAGGGATAAGATTATATGCGCAACTTTTTAAAGAATCGTCGTTTGCGTCAAACATAGCGTTTACGTATTACTTGCTGTATTAAACACAAAATTGAAAATATGCTATATTTTTGTTATATTTTTACAAATTTTAGTTAATTAAAAAATTTAATTTTTAAATTTTTTTTTTATGTTCAGAAAAATTTAACAAACATCACAAACAAATCCAGTGTCAATCGAAAGCCAGAAAAGAGCTTTCGGGGTAGTTGCCAGAATACGAAACATCTTTCCAAAGGTATTTATGCTTCGGAAATCTGTGATAAGTGAATGATAGTTACGGAAATATTAAATCAAATGGTATTCAAATTAAAGGCTTGATAAAGAAAAAGTGAATAATGAGATCATTAATTTCGTATATATATCCTGTTATTATTTTCAATTTTCTCCCTTTTTTTTTGCTATACATGTACTGTAACGACCTTTTTCGGCCCTACAGCTGGGGTATACTCAGCGAGTATACCAGGGTTCGTTATAAGAAATTTATAAATGTGAAATAATAGAGACACTTCTGTTTAAAGCAACGTTTATTATTTAACCAAAAAAATATAAATTAAATTGTGGAAAGTAATAGACAGCGATGTTGAAAATGTTGAAAATGTTGTCAATGATGTGGAATGTTGTTAATGTTGTAACAATGTTGTAACAATGTTGTAACAATGTTATAACGATGTTGTAAACGGTGTAGAATGTTGTATGATGTTGATGTCAGTGGTGCGCAAGTTGCTATCATTAGAATCGTGGAATCTGTAACAGGAGAAATTCCAAATAGCTAAACCTAAGGAAACTCTAATAAAATATAAATCAATACCTTTGTCAGCAAAAACCAGACAAGGGTCCCTTCCTGCTATTACGCCTGGCCACGTCCGTCAGCAATTGCCAAACGCTCGTTATCCCACACGCCTTCTGACAGTGTTTGTGACTCGTCGTCCATTCCTTCATCAGCTATGGCCAAATGGAAAACTGGATGACTAGTTAAACTACCCAACGCCAGCATAAGCCAAGCAGCAGGTAACTCAACTGGTTAAACTACCCTACGCCAGCATAAGCCAAGCAGAAGGTAATTCAACCACCATCACTTCGCCCAAATCAATCCATCCATTCACATGGTGATCGTCAGCAATGGCCAAACGAATCAACATGTGCCTGGACCAACTAGTCCGAGCTCCCACTATCCCTAACAATCCCTAACAAAATAGTTCTTACCTGTAACAGGAGAAATTCCAAATAGAACGATTTGGCAATTTCGCTGCCCTTTTATTTGAAATTCCATCCATTACAGGCAAAAACAAAAATTATCTTCAAGTAAACAAGGTCCCGTAAATTTGTCAAAACAAATTTCTTATTATTGTACACATTGCAATCAAATTCAATAAAAATAACTGCATCATATAAAAAATGCGTGCACGATATTTTCTTAAATTTGTTTATGCAGACAAACAAGTGAATTAATTACAACAAATTTAACAAACTTTTATTAGCGGCAAAAAATTAATCAAAACATATTTTAATTTACAGGATCATTCATTTATACAAAATGTTTATCTCTAATATGAAATTTACAGGGTCATTTGTTTATAATAAAAATGGATGTTACTGTAGGAAAATTTTATTGAATTTAGAAACATGTTTTTACTAAGTGGATTTAAAACTCATATTTGACTAATCATTTGATTTGTGGGGTAAAATTTTAGAATAAAATTTGGGCCTTACAGTACTATATTTTTAGTAAAAGTAAATTAGAAATTTTTTGCAATAATAAACAAATATAGACGCATTTCAGTAATTTCTGATCTTCCAATTCATATCTGTTGAGCTGTTAATAAAACAGTATTAATAACCGACTTGTAGCGAAGCCTTCAGGCAAATTCGCTGGAAAATTTCGTTTACAAAACATATATAAGCACCGTCAGTTCAGTTCTGTCTGAGCTCTTGAAGAGATAATTTATCGGCGGACTACAATACAGTTAAGACATTGTACTTGTAAAAAAAAATAATATTGCATTGGTAAATAAAGTGATAATACTGCATTTGTTAAAGAAAAATATTGTAATTCATCTAATCATTAATCGTTAATAATAAATTAGTCGACAAACCGATATTTGATGACCTCAACTTTGAACAAAGTACGTGGCAGCAGTAGATTCCCGCAACTCATCCTTTTGACAAGTAGAAACATGACAAGTAAAGGCAAGGCAGTAAGTGCAACAATTAACACGATCACACAGAAAGACACGTCATCGGCAGAAATTTATCGCATTAGTCTCAAGCTGTTAGTATTTAGCAAACCCGACCCAAATTTATACTTCCTACAGATGGAGGCACAATTCCGTAACGCGCGTATCACTCAAGCCCAGACTAATTACGACTACATGATTGGGTCATAAGATGGTTTTGCATTACGAAATGTTGCAGCACAAAACAAGTACAATGTTCGCAGCAAACGGGTCCGACATTAAAACGTACGACTATAAACTCACTGAACCTGAGTCTGAGAAAAAGTTACGGCTGGTGCTTCACAATCGCAGATGTGTCAAAACCAATACTAGGCATCGATTTCCTTAAATATTTTAACTTATTACTGCTAACAATCGAATTATTGATAACCTGATCTTGGAACGTAATACTGAGAAAGTAATGCTAATATTAATTTATAAAAATGTTTATTATTTTAATTTAAATAAATTTTAATATAATATAACACATATTGGAGTTCAAATATGTAATTAATTACAAAAACAAATTTTTTTATAATCCTTTAAAGGTCTTTTCTACACAGTGAGAAGGCAAGGCCTTTAATTTTGGCTCAACAAGAACAAAAAAGCTATACTAAAAAATATAAGTGTGTAAGGGTTATTTACTGCAGAAAAACCCCTTTATAATCCTTATTTTTACTACGATGATAGTACAAATAGAAAAATGTATGCATATTATTAAATTTCTGAGATTCATTGTCAAAATACATATATACTTAAACAACAGTTTGAATAATCAATAAAAACAACTGTTAATCATAAATCTAGATATCTCGAAAACTAAAAATTGTTATGAACCATAGTGCAAAAAAAAAGGTTAAACATTATGAAATTTTCATCAAATTCATTACTCATATACCAAATATCAACAAAATAATTGTAGACTGTGTCAATTATTTGCATAATAACAATACAGCCCTATTCAAAAGTATTTACACATCGAAAGTTTTTGTACATATTGCATTAAATCATGGTTTTATTGTTGTTGTTGGACATAAGTAGCAAAAAAAATGTTTGCTGTCACTTAGTTTTATCTATGCAGAACCAAATAAAAAAGAATTGAAAAGATAACTGTTCATTGGACAAAAATAGAAGCAAGGCATCAGTGCATTTTACACACATTTTTTTTGCTTTAAAAGTATTTACTTAAAACATTAATTTCATTTTCTTCATCTTAATTAATGAATTTTTTAAACATTTTTTTATGCTTATTTAATTAATATAATTAATATTTAGTTATACCACCTTTGACATCAATAACTGCCCGCAACCTAGCTGGAATTGATTCAATCAAGTTCGGAATCAATTTCGACCGAGTATTCCCTATTTCAATTATGTTATCACTACGTATTGGATTTTTTTTCAATAGTTCTTTGCTGTTTTATGAAGCATCAAATATTTTCAATGACACTGAGACCAGGGCCCTGTTGCACCAACACTTTTCACTTTTCACTTTGCAAAATTTATGAGTGACTTTTTTTTGCAAAGTAAAAGTGAAAAGCGTTGCACCAAAGACTTAACACAATTTACTTTGCACTTTGCAAATAAAAATTTCACTGCAAAGTCTTTGCATAAAATGCAAAGCAAAGCGTTACACCAAAAAATTAGATCACTTTCATTTTGTATTGGTTTTTGAAAGCATTTCGTTTCTGTATGTATACTTGTTTTTTGTTTGTTTAATATTTTGATGCTATGAGTACATGATTTATGCATAGTATGTACTTATGAGTTTAATTTTTGTTTAAAATAAAAGTTTTTAAAATAATATTTTATTTTAATAATTTATATTATTACAATTTGTAATATTTGTATAATTTTAGTACAATTATATGTTATATATTAATACAAAACACAAAATTTTTGTATATGATTTCTTTTATTGACATTGAATCGTAGATAAAGAAGTTGTGTATATCCATAGAGACAATTTTTATGCTTTTAATTTATTTTGCTGTTTGAAAAGTTATAGAAAAAGAATTTATATGTAAGGAGTATGAGTATGAGTTGTTTTAACAACAATTATATTGAAAAACAAAGTTAACAAATATAATAAGTTGCTTTTATATAAAAATTTAGTTGAAAATCTGTCATTATTATTTAATTTTAAAATATTATAAGTTATTAAAGTATAGTTTACTTGTCGCTGTGTATTATCCTAATACAAAAGAAACCTACGCATAAAGGGCCTAAATTACTGATTTTATTTAGAACATTTCTCTCAATTTATACAAAA